CCTACCCCCCACCCACCCGCTTATGCCCCGGGATCGATTTTATTATCTTTTGCGAGGCCTGCAGCAGGGCCTGTAGCAGCAGCTCCACGACAACGATGGCGGCGGGCGCGGGGCCCGAGGCGGGGGCCGCGGAACGACGACGGGGGCGACTGGACTGGAGTATGTCGTCGTCATAGATACTACCGCGCCATACTTACACACTGTTCCGAAACATAAGTTCCCCAACCTTTTTTTTCTGCCATCATCTGCCCCCCCCCCCTTTTTGCCATGACTCCGCTGCTGCTGCGGCTCATTCCGTCGCTCTGATGGCCAAGTCAACTGGCGCGACCAACATATGGGAATTTCTCGGCGGCTGCATGGACATACTTGGCTGTGGCAAAAGAATTCGGAACGGCCCCATAAGGCCACATTCAGTGTGTCTGTGGCCGGGCGGGGCCGGGTGTGTGGCCGGGAGCGACGCGCGAGCGAGAGAGATGGATGACACTAGTGTGCTATGTTGATGATGTCCTGTCCGGCCGGGGCGGAGTGGAGTGGACAGTTGTCATCTAGAGCTCACTTCTGCTGGCGGCGGAGAGCAGAAAAAGGCAGACTTTGCGCCGTCTTTCTCCAAGGAAGAGGGCCTTTCACCCAGGTCAGTCCCATACGTACACGAGTCGGCTTCTGTAGAAGAAAAAAAATACGTCGTGGGTCCAGCGGGGAAAAATGAAACACCAAAGGGTGTCTCGCGAGCGTTGTAACATAACCTCGAAACGCACAGAGTATGGAATGGTAAATATACTTCAGTAAAGAAAAGAGCTCAACGTTGAGAAATAGCTCAGCTGACCCTGTGCCCGCTGTTACGTTGGTCCACAAATGGTTAACTATGTTGTTGAATAGGAGAACCTAAATATCCATCCGACATAACCTAAAAGTCCCGGTAACTGTAGTGGGCACTGCCATAATCCTTGTTTTGTTTACCCTTATTTGCACCATATAGCGGCGGCAAATTTGAATCTTCGAATATACATTACCATTATTATGAGGTGTTGTCATTTAACCCGAAAGAAATTGTGAGCAAGAAGTGAAGAGTGATTTGGTGGCACAATTTTAATCGACATTTTACCACTTTAGTTCAACTCTTTTGGAGGTAAGGCTTCCTCAAAATTGCGACATTTTTCAAGTTGAAAGCGTGCGGGTGAACCGTAGTATCGTCAGGTTGAACGACACGAGGTACAAACATGTATGTATTCTTCAGTCGTGGGAAAGATTTCCCTGATCAGGGGTGTTTGACAAAAAGACTTTTTTTTATCAATTATCCGGTCCGGTCCAAACTTGGGTATGACTGCGTTACACGCTCACGGAGACTTTCCGCGCCCGTTTTGTTATCAGTCTCGTCTGTTCGACGGTCTCGGGAGGAGTATCCGACTGCGCTTAGCCGCACGGTGTATCACGTCAAATCACTGTCATCATAACGATGTCAAAACGACCAACGTTGACCGGACACGCCACGTTACGGGGTTACGGGGCACGGGCCGAGAGAACGGACCGATACCAGAGCATATGCGTTCGTCGTCCCGTTCGTCCGTCTAGTATACCAAAGCGTCGCGACGGTGTACGTTAATTTTGACGACTGCGTTGCGACGGCGGCGTCGCGGTGTCGCGCGTCGTCTTCAAAAAATGGCGCGCAGCGTTGTCCTTTCCTGGCGTCCACACGATCTCGCATCTTTCCGCCGCCGATGGCCAATGAATGCAGGGCTATTGCGCGCGCTAGCCAACCGTTCGCCTGGACTTGAACATAGTTTTTTTTTTCTTTTCATTTTTCCTTGTCGGATCTAGAACTTTAACCAGTTCGAAAGGAGATGGGAATGTCTCATTCGCGCGGCTGCGTTGAGCCGTGACTTTGCTGCTCACGAGGACGCGCCTAATGTCGAAGACTATCGGGGTACGACAACTGCTCGCAAGTGGTCCGCTGGTAAGGGGTAGCAAAAAAAGGCATCGATCGAACACCGGACATATAAACATATCTCGACCAGTCTTGAGAGAGGAGGGTTGGGAAGGTCTGTGCTCCTGCCTACGCTGTGCCTTCTTCCCCCCGCCCCCTCCCTCCCTCTTCCTCAAGTCCTTTGCTTCCCCCCGCTCTCCCTCTCCCTCTCTCTCTCTCTCTCTCTCTCTCTCTCTCTCTCCGCCCGTCGCGCTCCCGTCTCTGTCCTCCGTTTTTTCTGAGCAAAATTAAACCAGTTTTCAAGCCGAGTGCAAATGTCGGCGTGGCATCGCACGGACTTCTGGTCTCTTGACTGCAGTTGCGAAGGCGTGGCCGCATCGTGCATCTGTGTGCGTGCGACCGTGCGTGTGTCTGTGTGTGTGCAAAAGGAGAGGAGTTTGTTAGTCGCCGCGCAGGCGATATCGCTTGAGGCTGCCGGTGCCTTGCGCCGCGACGTGTCACTTTATGGAATCGGAGCATTTTCTTGTCATCGTGACTTGGTGTCGAATGGCGCGTTTGATTCCGTGAAAATCCTGCTTCCCCGATCAAACGCCGTCGCGCATCGTCTGGCTGCCCAGTATGGCGAGTATGGCCGTCCTGTGCGCGAGCAGGACACGCTGGTTGGTGATGAGGTGTAGGTTAGAACGGGATGAGGAACCAAACAATTGAAAAAAATATGAAAAGAACTAAAAACTAGAAACTGCAAAAAAGGGCTTGCCTTTCGACTCTCGCCACGACGACTTATTACGGTCACTTATGGCCCCGTGCAAGTTTACAACCCGTCCGCACGCCTGCATATCCAGTACAGTATAACTAGAAAAAAAGTACGACTTGGAACACCCATCCTGTATACATTTCTTTTAAAGGCCGCCTAACTTTACAACATTGGATATTCCTGTGACCTGATTATTTCGTCGGCCCGCGCGTCGGTCTGCTGCTTCTCTGCAACAAGCATCCGCGACGTCATATACGATCAAGGCTAACCATAAGGCAAGGCGAGGGGAGGTATGCGGCGGTATGGCTGTCATGAGCATGGCAGTCAGTCTCATGCGCGCATGCATTCCTAGTACGTAAATTTTTCGCATGAGGTGCGCTGCCTTTGCGAGCATAGAGGTGTACCTCAGAGGAACCCAACTTGTAAAAAAAAAAAAGTGCGTGCGCGGCCATAATGCGCGCTGTATGTTTATGTACTCTGCAACGCTCGCTTGCCGCGCATAACGCGGGGACGAAAAAAAAATCTACTGCTGCGTTAGAAAGTCCCTCTCTCCCTCAAGAAGGACTACGTTTTGATTTGCAGATAGGCCTTTTATATGCTCAGTGTGCTAGCCAGGCCAAGGCAGGCGGCCGGAGGCGGCGGGGGCGCGCGCATGTATGGAAGGGGGCGGAGGAGATAAGGAAACATTTGTCTGACGTTCCATCCGATGAATTCGCGTACCGGCCAAAAGATGCATCTGTAGAAACGAGGCACTCGTGGTCGTTGCGGTGTCACGCAGAAAAGGTGTGGATGGGGAGAGAAAGGGGAGAAGGGTCATAAGTGCCTAATTTTAATTTTTCTGCAAAAGAATGAAAATAAGAAGACGGTTTTCTGTTTTTTGGATTATCCGAAGGAAATAAAGTCGAGGCGGATCGCCGTAAATGTCGGCGCGCACATCTGTCGCGGAGCGGCGGGGAGTGGTTCGCCTTCGGGTCGCTCCAGCTTCTCCGGGGGCACTACTACTACTGGTGGCGTGGTGTGGCGTGGCGTGGTGGCTGCCCCGGGATAATAGTGGCGCGACCTGAAGCAGAGGCAGAGGCGGGCGATGAGAAAAGAGCTGGCGATGAGAGCGCAGCAGCAGAGGCAATCTGGCGGAGTCGATCTGATTAGCATCCTCTGCACCTGAAAGGCCATGCCTCGCCTCGGCCCGGAAGCGCAGGTAAATGGGGCGGTAAGTCGATGGGATCTCCGCGCCCCGCCCC